TTCACGTTTCATCCGCTTTAATGTTTTCCACCTTGTGTATTTTTTAGACGCTTGAAATCCAGGGCGATCTGAAAATAAATCTCTTTATTTTTATTTTATAATTATAGATCTCCTAAAAATGCTACAATGAGAGATGAAATGCTGAGTTGGGATGTGGTGATGTTGAACGAGGATTTTTTTTAAAGTGTGATGAGACTACTTGCCGTCATGGGGTGTCTAGGCAGTCGCGTGTTATTTCTTGAAACATTCACACCCGAAGCGGCTTAAAATGATTTAAAATGCCGTCGGGAAGAAGCCTGAGTTTAGAATTCTCTAATTGCAGGTGCTCCGCCCTTCCTTAAATCTGCTCTCGTGTACTTGGCCTAAATAACAATCAAGAAATTTAGCCAGTAGCCTGTAACGATTAAGATGTGATGGTGAAAAGCAGACAAACGTGACTGGGCTACGGTGTTAGATTGAAAGAATGCCAATTTGAATAATTAGAAAAAATCTTCCTCTGAATTACATCTCTTATTGTAGCATTTTAGGACATTATTCAAAATTAATTTAAAACAGATTTGTTTTAAGATCGCCCTGGAGTTTAAGCGTCTAAAAAGTACACAAGGTGGAAAACATTCTGAAAAGCGGATGAAACGTGAATGTGAGATATAAATTATCACAGTCGCACAAAATGGCGTGGCAATGGCAATCGTGTTCATGCAAATCTGTGCTATTCTATGGCCATTTAAATTTCAAAATGCAGCAAACAAACATGTTGTCTTAATAACCAGCTCTACTCATTCAACTTAAAGAGTAAACGAATCCACCATTTGATTGCTAATCAAGCAAAGTAAACGGGAACAGGTATACTTTTCTTAGAGTTGCCTAATTGGTTAATAGGAGACGATTTTGTTTTCATTTGCTTGGCTTCTCTCAGCACTTAGCCGAAAAATACTGATGTCAGCCAAGTTTTTTCCGGAAGCATTTCCCATGCCCTTTGATGTTAGGCACTTTTGTTCAGGACAGCATGGGGGTTAATAAAGAAAAAGGGAAAGCTCGGATATTTACCCCATGATAGCAGGTGGTGTTACTACGCTTTAAAAAAACATCGATTCAGAATCGTCGCACCCCTATCATTTTTGCAGCTCTTGTGATTAATGTGGCAACACAAAGCAAAATAATTGTGGCACGCATGGGGAAAAAATTGAGCTAAGTGGGTACCAACTTGATTCAAAACATGATTGGGGCTGAGAGGAGCTTGATATAACTGTAGCAAAAAAAGCACTGGTGATCGGCCTACAATTGACCAAGGCAGGTCACCAGCCAAACTTGGCACTTTGCCATCATCACCAACATCCATGCCACATTAATGCACAGTTTTTTTCTTTTTTTTTTTTTTTTTTTTTTTGCTTGGTTTTCCATCTACGTTGTCATTTTGTTTCCTCTTTTGGCTTGAATTTTCCCAAAAGTGTAATGCAAACATTTGTTTCCAGTCAAGGTTGCAAATGGCAAAGTAAAAGGAACAGATCACAGAGATGTCCAATGAGGGAAGCTGGGTGCAAGCATTTGTGGGAGTTGAAGCCTTGTGTTCTGCAGCTATTAGTTGCTGTGACCATGTGAAATTCTTTAATTCCCCCCCTCAACAATATCTGGACAACTGGTGTTATTAACCTGCATTTGATGGCTTACCATATGCTAGTTTCAGAACCTGCTCAGAATAAAATACTATTGCAATTATTAATGCATGATTAGTTAGTATTTCAATACAGGTGATGCTGCAAGGCAAAATATATTGTCGGGCCATCATATGTCATAGTATCTGTGTGGTATTAAATATACCCCTGGATTTTTAATTGGCACCTCTTTCACTGAATTTAAGTTTAGTTTATTGCATTACAATAATTTATTTTTCATTTGCTGTATGTAACATTGCTAAACAAAGTGAATATTGGCAAAGAGTTTTGATGTACACAGCACACACTGATTGCAATTTGAATATGTCAGTTAAATGTAAAAGCTATGAACTTTCTGCTTTGCAGGAATTACATAAAAATTTCATTTCTTATAAAATATAATTTCAAATAAAGTATTGAAACTTGGTTGAACTATTGTTGATATTGATTGATTGTCGTAAAACAATTAAGATGCTGTGGTAGATCAATGTTTTTCTTTGCCTCAAATCAAACGGCCTTCACATATTTACAGAATCAGGTTTTGCACACCTAACAAAAATATTACACTGAATTTGTCATTACTCTAATGTGTAGGTTTCTGTGTCCAAAAAATTGCAGTTATTGCAAATTGCTGTATTCCTCCCTTTCACCCACCTGCAGACTTCAGAACAAGAATGGGAAGCAGCAGGTCCCCATCTCAACAGCGACGGTCTCCATGGTGCACAGTGTCCCAGAGTTAATGGTCAGCTCTGAAGTGAGTACTGCTGTTGAATATCTGCTATGCATGTGTATCAATTCAAATTTGGGATCACCCCACCTCTGCTACATTTTGAGTTCACAGAATATGCTGCGGTCTATCATGGATGGATGGTGCATTTATTGAAAGCTGATGAGTTTGTATCGGCAAGTGGGCTGTGTGGTTTTGAAATGCTGCTGTCAGGGATTGAAGTTCTCTGTCACTATGACTGATTTCCATAAAATGGATTCCAGAGAGGCCATTTATATGATCAGTGTCGATCCGGGGGGCGACAAGAGGGCAGTGGCTTGCTCTCGGTGGCATGAAAGGCCTGCCGTAACGTCACCTTTTATTGCTTAATTACGTTTGAACCATAGAGTGTATAAAAAGATGTGACGAAGCAACCCTGACGTCACCCAATGGTTTCAGCATACCATTTAGGAAGCCTCGATTTTTGGCAATTTGAACATTGAAATGGCCGCGGTCCAGCAGCCACAATGGCTGATCTTAACAGTTGAGTGATTGCTTTCCTTCGGAATTTATCCTTGTTAGGGGTCAAAGACGACATTAAAACTCACACACAAATCTTTTTATTGTAACAGCCTGGCGAATTATGTGAAAAAAAAGTTGAGGATAAGAAGCACATTGGTTCCCTTTAAATCCCTGTGATCTGTTTTCAGCAAGCGGAGCAGCTGGGCAGAGAGGATCAGCAACGTTTGCACTGCAATAGAAAGCTGGTTCTGATGGTGGACCTGGACCAGACTCTGATACACACCACAGAGCAGCACTGCCAGCGCATGTCTAACAAGGTATGAGTGGAGTGGTGTCTGTCTCGAGAGCTGCACGGGGGGCAGCAGTTCCATCTCCTTCGCTTCTGTCCCCTTGTGTTGGCTTCTTGTGTGAATTGATCATCAGGGTCCCCCACCCTCCCATCCCAAATTGATACTAATTTGTTTAGTTTTAGATTTTTTTTTTTTTTTTTTTTTTTTTTTACATTGTAAGGGCTTGCAGGTGCAGTTCTTGTGTCTGTGTCAAGTCACCCTCTGACCTCTGTATGACTTCTGTTCCTTATTTGTATCATATATATGATCAATCCTATGGTGTTTCACTATTTCACTGTTTTTAGATTCCCCCATGAAACCTCAAAGGCCAGCAGGTTCCTGTCTCTGCAGGAACCTGGGCAAATGTGGTGGGACCACAAACAGTTTTTGTGACAGTGTCTAGGTCCCCCTTGAACTCTGTCACCACTGTCCCATAGAAAAATACACACAGACATCAAATGTACAGTTTGACAGTTTCAAAATTCCCTAAAACCACCGTGGTCTCTGATTTGACCCACAATAGTGGATACAAAAACTGGTCTCCAAGTAGCTCCCCATGCTGTCAGAACCTGCAAAATAGAAATAAATCATAAAATTATCGTATGTTTAACACAAATCAACTTTTCACTCAAGAAATTCAATATGAATCAATGATTTTCTAGAGAATTTAGCATGAATTTATCAATATCTGCGTGGATGGACATCAATAGTCACCAGTGACTTCTCCACACCAAAAACATACCTTTTCTCCATGATAAGGTTGAGAGTTTTGTCCATTTTTCTACAAAGCCGCATCAGCAAGCACACATACTCATTAAGGGGTGATCTGGGGTTAACCCCTTAAGCCTGACGCCCCCGGTACCAGGGGCGGTGCTTACGCATAATAAATACAGCATGTTTCCAAATCCTAACATTGTAATGCGGCATATTCACATTTCACGAAGAAACTAGGCAAAAAGCTCATGTTGACCATTTTTACCTCAACCGAACGCAGTTCAACCACCAAGCAAGTAAACAAGCATGTATCAAAACATAGGATAAAATCATATCAGCGCTGAGTCGCTAAAATTTCTCCTGAATTAATGCTATGCATACAAACGATACCTCAAATGAAAGAGGAAAGTCCACAGAATCCAACGATGTATGCCTTGTCATTTTAAACTGACACCACACTCAAAGAACAGCTGCCATGCACTTTACAGTCTACAGAGGTGAGCAAAGAAATTCCTTACTTTTGATATTTTGTAATAAAAAAAACTGCTCGAGGGTAAATCTGCGCTTGCTATTGTTAGCCCAATGTGTCCGTGTTATAAGGAAACTACATCTGCGAGTCTGAAAGCATGTTTTTCTTCTGGAGCATTGCTGCAAAAATCTCAGCTCCTCAGCATTCAGCCTGCTTGCAATGTATTTTCCTCTCTGTGATCGCCTTGTGATGCTGTCAGTAAAACTTTGCCGCTAGCCATTTGATTATATGGCTTCTTACATTTCCAACGAGCCCTGAACCAGCTTTATAGCACAAAGCTAGCCTAAGCTACAGCCTTGCGTTCCCAGTCGCCAAACCGAGTCCATAGGCCATTCAATGTACTTAAATAGCGTGACAATATAAACGCTTAACAGGTTTGTTTGTGGTATTTTTCGGTATAATTATTCGCTAAATATTCAACCGTCGTTTTGAAAGTCGTTTTCTGACAGATACGCGTGAATACTGAGGGCACAACAGTACAAACAAAGTGAGTAGCTTGTTTTCTCGACTCATTCTTTATATTAGCAATTTGAGCATTGTTCCTGTGTCCGTTGATGTAGTATAGGGGTTAAAACGTCAGATTGCGACGCTGGCGACCCGGGTTTGATCCCTGGTCAGAGTGGATGGAGGTAGCCTTTTTTTCATGTACAAATAATTGATGGGGTTTTTGTTCTTTTTACTTTTTTCCCATTTTTAACCTTTCCGTTGTATTCATAATCTTATTAATTTAAAAAAAAAAAAAAAAATCTGCTCCAGAGGAGCCAAATTTCATTTTCTTTGTATTTATTGTCTTTGAATGGAATGGTATAGGCTATAGGACTGGCAGAAATAATAATTTAAAAAATACTTCTGAATTCAAAAAATTAAAAAACTGGCTGTATTTGGGTGGAATGTATGCCTGTAGTGACATATAAGTGAAATTAGATGAGTTTTACAGTATAATATCTGAGAAATCTGATTTGGCACACAAGGTACCTGAATTGCCAATTTGGAGAAGCCACCTAGACATTCCTCTCTAATTGTGTTCTGATTTACTTGATTGGAATAAACTTTGGCACAGATAATGGTGAGATTTTGTGCTGTAAATTTTTAGAGGTTTAGGACTGCAACTGATTAATTTTACAAGGGATCAAGTAAAACTTTGTTTGGTGCAAAATGAGGTCTTTGATTTATACTGTGTTCCATCTTCATTTACTCTGACTAAGTGACATATACACTGATTTTTACACTGTGGCAGAAATCCCAAATGGTTTTACCTTTATTATGATACCAAGATTATTCAAATGGATCAAATAGTTGCCGAGATATACTCATTTCATTTTGAGCTTGCCATTTTCAAAAAAGGACTCAGGGCTTGAGGGGTTAAATGGGCAAAATTTGATTCTTTTTCCAAAAATTTTTTTTTTGAATAAAAATATTCTTTGATAACCCACCTTTAATAATCACTAATTGCTACAAGGATTAAAAACTGAATTTTGTCATAAAATCATGATTTAAAAACAACTGTGATGATGAAATTTATGCTTTTCACTCCAGGAAAGTGATAGACCTTTGAATAATCAGATAATACAGTCTGAAAAATGGGTGTAAGCCACAGACTAAGACTGAACTCAACTTTTCAATGCGGTCTAATGCATTTTCCATTGATTTCTTAAGGTATTACTTTTTCCATGTTTCTCATGTTTGTGGCAGCCATAACTTTTTTTATTTATCATTGAAAATCAATGAAATTTGGGCTGCAGGTACTTTACTTCATTAGAAATGCAATGACATAGGGAAATTTTGCCTATCGGTTACATACTTTGAATATTTTGAGTATTTGTCAGATTCTGCGCAAAATAATTTCAAAATTTGAGTAAAATGCCCCAAAATCACAAAACGGATAAATTGGGCAAAGAATGGCTATGTCATTGCATTTGGATAAGCAATGGCTTTTAAATGATGAAAGAAAAACTGAATTCTATCATAGAGTTAAAGAGGAAATGGTGCCAGAAGTTTTCTGCATATTTAATGAGCTTGCTCGGTTACCATGGCAACAGAAAAATGCTAACTTGTATCTTTTTTGGTGGTTATTACATATACCTCTTTAGATTAATTCTGAGTTGTTTCTTGGTGTCATTTTTCATTTAACCCCAGATCACCCCTTAAAGGAACTGCTTATTTTATGGGCAAAACGTTCACTCTGAGATGGAAAGCTTGCTGTTTACAATTCAGATCTTCCAAGCAAAACGCAAGCTTGTAACAACGCTTTTCACACCCTATAAGGAGCAAGTATAACTCATGAACACCGTAATATCTGAAGTATACCTTATTTTAACTAAACAGATATTCCAATATCAGGAAAAGGCAGGCAATGTACTACCCTAGATTGAACAGAGTTGTCGGTGCTGTGAAGCAGGGGATTTACCGTAGTCTTTGAGCTTTTCGCATTTTAAATGAGCGAACATCCAAGGCATTCTATTTTGTTGAATGCGGAATAAATTCTAAAATGGATCGCAACATTAAGCAAAATGCCAGCGTAAACAGTAGTATTAGCAAAGGCTATTGGTTACTCTTGTTAACCAATGTAGCAAACTAGCTCTGTGATCACGATGGTAAACTGAAAATAAGAAATGGCTTGCTGGTTAGTTTGCTGGCTGGAAGTAGGACAGAGCTACTCCATACATAGACAGTTCTTCTCTCACTGCAAGAAGAAAAACTCTCCATCATTGAATTTCTCTGCCAAAGAATCAATGCTGTCAGCCCTCCAGTCAGTTCCATTCAAAATAACTGCCATTTTCCATCTCAGAATCACATTTCCATCCCGCAAATATAACCTCAGCACTCCAGGGTTGGTTCTGGAAGTCTTTTTTTTTTTTTTTCCCGTGCAATCACTTCATTCTCAGCTGCGCTAAGTTCAGAGAATACAACCAAACTTGCTATTACGGAAGTATTTAAATACTCTTCTGAGGGTCCAATCAATGTCTTTCAATTACTGAGGAGAGCTTATACTGTCTGGAATTGGATAAAAAACATGTCAATGAATAGGTAATTACTGGGAGAGTTTCATGTGGGCATGAACTATAGCTGTGCATTTACGTAGATAAGCCTAAGCGACCATTGAAGTGACTGTATTTCCATGAGGGATTGTATGAGCATTTAAAAGACAGCTGAATTCTTCGAGAGCTGAACCTAAGCGTCCATGGTAGGGAATTGCCCGTTTTTAATATGTGATGACTATAATTGATTGTACAATGACATGGTATCAATGCCGTGGCAAATTTTTGCTTCAGAAAACTAATTTTTTTTAACTACTTAATTGGGATACCATTGGCTCACTATAGCTGAAGTAGTTGCTACAAAGGACAATGATTTTTTACTGTTGCAAGAGATCTTTTTTTTAAAACTGCTGGATAGATACTATGGGCAAGTATATTGAGTAGTTTGCACATCAGGCTTAGCTGAGGAGTTTTGATTCATGCAACTCCTGGGAAACAGGTATTGGACATAACTCGTGTTCGAGCTCGGCTTGCTAATGAATATTCAATAACTGATCCGGGTGTGCCATGTAGTGACAGAGTAGTGTAACTGTGTGCATAAATCGAGCTGCTCCATGTCCACTGGCATCTACATCTGCCTATAAGGGTTCAGAATGTCTCAATGACACCATGGAGAAGAGCCACGGTTGTCACGATGTTACATGGATGGAAAATGCTTATTCTCCTCAGTCATAGAAGAGGATTGTGGTACAGGGAGTTTTATATCACATTAAAATATAGCTGTGGATCAGAAAAACCACATAATTCAGAAACTTTGGTGACAATGTGAAATCCATTAATCAATGGTAAGCTATGGCTTGAAGAAGTTGGTTTAAGTACGAACAGTGAATTCCAACAGCCTAAGAAAGTTAATTTTTTCTTGGGGAGGACAGTGGCGAGACCCCTGAAGGCCATATTTTTTCAATTATTCTTCAATTATTCATTGCAATTTAATAATTGCAAGCATTGAATCTGCACTACCGGTCAAAAGTTTTAGGACACCTCAATTTTTCCAGTTTTTTATTGAAAATTATGCAGTTTGATGTCTCATTGTACTCTGGAATGAAAGCATAGACATGATAGAACAAACTTTCAATCGAAGTTAAAGTAATCATGCAATCAATTTATAAACCAAAATGTATATTAAACTTTTACTCAAAGTAGCCACCTTTGGCAGATATTACGGCTGAACACACTCGGGTCATTCCATATGAAATCAACCGGGCCACCCAGTGTCATGGTCTTGGATTTCCCTTAAATTTTGGGAGAATGTTGTACTTGGGGCCAATGTGCTGATTTTGTACATAAATATGTATGAAAAAGGTACAAACACACTGTGCACGAAAACCATAAAAAGTGCAACTTTTGGATACAATTTTAATTATGAAGCAATTGAGAGACCACTTTAAAACTGTTTGTGATGAAAGTACAGACAAAGAGCTTTGAAATGATATAGGTCCCATAAAAATTGGAGGAGTCTCCCATTGAGAAACTAGAGTGCCAAGGGCCCTGAAGGTTGCCGGCAGTTACAGCTCCAACAGGAGAAAAATAACTACCATCAGTCCGCGGATTCAACGGCAAGCCAACACGAATTCTTGTGAAAGCAACACGTTGTCTACACAATATTGGCGTTAAAAAGCTCCAGCTCGGACATCCGCGAAAAAATTAAACCTGTTTAATTTTTTTGCGAATTTCGGCGGTGATGACGAATGGTCCGGTACCACTGCGAGTCAATTCACAGTTCTTCGAATCAATTCTTCTCTGCGAAAGAAGAGAAATGTTTCATCCGCACACTTCCGCGGGCCAACGCAGCTCAGTGAGAAAGGGGTTTTAGTTACCATTATCGGGCAACTTGACTGACCAGTCACACTTTTGCATGAGTGACAGACTGCAACATTTCTGCCATTTAGCAAAAATATAATCTTTAAGAAGTCTACATCATGAAATCCGATTATATTTTTTTTCTAACCTGAACTTTCAATGTCGTCTGCTGTCAATTTGTGAAGTGCGCCATCTTCTCAATTCACTTCTGGTTCTTGCTCTGGTTTCGGACAATGATTTTTTTTTTTTACACAACACTGCCACCGAGTGGGTCTAATTAGTATTATTCTTTCTATTCCATGATGCTGATAGGAACAAACATCCAAAAATGGGTTTTGACCAGTTTTTATTGCCGCAATTGATCGTGAAAAAAGGTCGACCATGCGGTTACAATGCCCGTAAAAATTTTAATTATATATAGGTTATTGCCTAATACATACTAATTTCTAAAGACATTATTAAACAAAGAAATAAACAGATTGATTTTGACCAAAGTCAAATCCAGTATGGTGTGTTTGATCAGCATACATGATTTGTCATTAGTATCCAATACATACCGAAGATCTAAAGCCAACATTAAAGAACCTTTAGGCTGTTTTGTCATTACCTGGACCTTGTTGCCCAAGGTCAAATCCAATATGTTGAAAACAACCAGCATACATGATTTGCTATTAGTGCCCAATACATACCTAACCTCTACAAACAATATTAAACAAATATGGGCCATTTTTATCATATAACCTTGACCTTGAGGCCCAACATCAGTTTGACTGACTGCCTAAGA